TAATACATATTACGTTGTTGTATACTCCAATGATTGTGATTTATTTGAGTTTTAAACTACTAAGAATCGAACGCAATATAGACATTTATTAGTTTATGTGCTATCTTGTAAAATTATAAACTTCATCATAAAATATAACAATAAGTGAAAATTGCAACAAATATCCTCTCTCCCTCTCTCTCTCTTTCTATTATATATTAAATTATTACTTTTGTCCTCTATTTATCCCACTAAAAAATATACGGTGGAGATCAAGTGCTAATTAATAATTCAGTACCTGTACAGAATAGTTAAAAACTTATTTATTCTAATTATATTAATAATATATTTAAATTATATGAATTAGTATATATTGAGCACTTGATATCCACCGATAAAGCATTCAGCACTTATGCTGAATTATTTTTTTCAACATATGATCCATGGCCAAAAATATATCTTTCATATTATAAGAAATTGCGATTTTTGTACCAAACTGATATTCACGTCCTATATAATCTCACTTGTTTTGGTTCTCTCCAATGTTCTAAAGCCACAAGATAGGTTTTGGGTACAAACTTAAGAATTTTTGAAAAATATAAAATATATTTTGTCAGAAAAATAAATAGATAAATTATAAATTTTATAAATTTTTCTAATAAATTTATCAAATCTATTTTATATATGTTTTTTTTTTTTTTTTATTTAGGAGTATCTTCTATGATTATAAAAAAATATGATGATGTATTTTAAATATTTAGACATATTTTAAAAATATTATCTGATAATTAATTAAATTATACGATACTAAATTTGAAAAAAAAAAATATTAAATTAAATAATATATCATAAAAATATAAATATTTTAGAATTAATATTAAAAAAATTTCAAAAAATAAGTTTAAATTTATATTAATCGTACTCGTGGGTGATCATAAATTTTATATTTTTCAAAATAAAATATATAAAATAATAATAAAAATATTACACAATTTATAAATTTAGAATAGTATACATAAACACAAAATGAAAAAAAAAATAGTATAAATCGTTCGGTGAAAATTTTAAATTATTAAGTTTAAATCTGATGATTAATTTTGGTAAAAAATAAAAAACAACGAGAACAGAAGAAAAGAACAACAACAAAAAAAAATTAGGAATAATAATAATAAGAATAATAATAATTGTTGTAACAATCTCTAATTTATAAGCAACGACTAGTGGAGAAGAATGGACTTAAAAATAACAACTGAGGCTACATATATGACTTTGAACTTTAATCTAAAGTAGATTGTATATAATACACTTGTATTTAATAAAAAATAAAATTACCGTAACATTCTTTTGTCAACCAAATCAGTAATTAAATAAATAAAATCTTATGTCATTCAGAAGAAATTTAACTAGGAGTAACTTTTCCTTGAATTGGTGTTTTTGCCATTTCTTCACTTGTGTTTATTCAAACTTGATTTTCTTTTAGCATTTTTTTTTAATATTCAATTTTCATATGTATATTTTCGGAAAAAAAATATTATTATCCCCGGCCCAACAAAAGAAAATATGTAACAACAAAATCTATTCCCAAGTGAAGTCCAAAACAAAAATACCCAAACAAATTGAGATATCACTCATTTATTGGGTTTATCCACTTCTCACACAATATAGAGGCGAAATCCAGTCAAAATGCACAATTTTCTGTTGGTGAAAGTGATAAAATGGAGAAGAAAGTGAAAGATTTAACATGATGGGATGAAAAAGGGCATAATGGGGGAGTAGAGGGGTAATGTTCCGGACAAGCCAGACCGAGTGTGTTGAAATCGTAGAATGACAGCTACAGATCAACAAAAATTTTTTAGTATGGCTTGTCCTCATTCATACGCGTTTTGGAAGATTTTTCAAGGTTACTCATCCCAAAAAAAAAGAACAAAAATCATTTTTGGTCTCATTCAATATCATAATTATTAATTTTGGTCCCATTCATTATCATAATTATTAATTTTGGTCTCGTTCAAAAAAATTTATCAATTTTAATCCCACTCAAATAAAAATTTATCAATTTTAGTCTAAAAGATGGTTGATTGGGATTGAACACGGCAATGTTTGCTTAAACACGGCCGTGTTGGATGACTCAGAAGGTGACTGGGCGTCCCAGGCAGCCAACACGGCCATGCCGTGTAGATTACCCTACACTTCTGAACATGGCCGTATTCCTGCCCGTGTTCTGAACACAACCATGTTTTTGTCAGCCATGTTTTAGGCCATGTTCACGACCATATTTTCAATATAATCATATTATAGGTCATGTTTATTATTATTTTCACTTTTTAGTTAAAATTATTTGATATATATATTTATAATTCAACAAAAAAAAATTATAATTATTTCATAATATAAAAAATAATCAATTTTTAATATTTAAAAATAATAATTTCAAAAAAATATAAAAATATAATATATTAATATATATTTTTAGTAATCTATCTGTTGATGCAATTTTTTTAAAAATAAAAAGTAAAATCCGAAAATAGAGATTATCTTCGAATTTGATAATATAAATGCCTGAGATTAGGAATTCGTAGGCACTGTGAGTCTTATATGCTAACAATATGTTCTTTAGGTATTTCTTTTCAATATTTTTTGGCTTATAATTATGATTTTCCTACCCTAGGCCCTAGTCCGATTACAACCCCTTAATAAAGGCCCTTGGTTATTTGTATAATGTTTCATTTTTTTTTATTTTTTTTTATCGGATTGTGTCATGTTTCATTTTTTTTTATTTTTTTTTATCGGATTGTGTCATGTTTCATTTTAGTTGGGGAGATGTGATCTAAGAACAAGTGTATAGAGTTGTAATTTTTCATGCAATTTGAGGAATAAGTTATGTTTTCTTTTTGAGAGACGAGTGCATACATTTATACATCCGTTACATTTGGTGAGGATGATCTTGCTTGGCATACTTCTATTTTGATGAAGTTGTTGCTATTGAAGATGTATATGAAAGAATAGAATCCATTAGTTACACAACTTTATGATACATACTTAAGGACAAACATTCCTTAAGCACGAGGGGATTTGATAGATTATATTTTGCATGCACTTGATATATATATATATATATATTGAAGTTTTGAATAGTTTTTTACTCATTTTCGTGCTATTTTAGGTGATATTCAAGGCGAGTAAGCAACGAAAGACAAAATAAAAAATAGAGCAAGACATGGTCTTTAGTCATGGCCATGACTAAGAGCGGGCAAACTATCTGAAATTTCAATTGAAAAGTTGAAAACTCAAATCGAATGATCCATTCCAGTGTGGAAAAGACCAATCTACCCTTAGGACATCCCAATGAAATCAAGGGGTGAGCATTCGGATTTTCGGTTCGGATATCCGAACCGATCCGAAAATCCGAAATTTTTGAAAAAACCAATCCGAACCGAACCGAACCGAAATAATCGAAATTCGAAATCCGAACTAAAAAATCTGAACCAAACCGAAAATTATGAAATTCTAAATATTTTTATTATTATTTTTAATTTTTAATTTTTTTTAAAATTTTATTATTATTTTATAATATTAAATATATAATATATAAAAATTAAATATATTAAAATATAATTAATAAATTTGAGTTTTTTATATTAAAATATAATATTTTCTAATAAAATATTAAATATGTATAATAAAAAAATATATTAAAATATTATATTCACTACAAGAAAATATCATTTTTGTAACGAGATTTTTCGTCTTTAAATTCACTTTTTCCGTTACTAATAATATTAGAGACGGAATTAATAATGGAATTATGTTAGCTACGTGGACTTTAGGAACGGAATTCCGTTATAAATATACTATTTTTTTGTAGCTAATAATTCCATCTCTAATATCATTAGTAACGAAAAAAAGTGGATTTAACAACGAAAAAATCTTGTTACAAAATTGATATTTTTTTTTTTTGTAGTGAATTAATGATTTGAACTATGTGATTTTGTGTGATTGACTCTCTAATTTATAGTTTCTATTTTGTTTGTTGGATTTGTACAATTTTTGTGTTGGATCTAGTATTGTGATCAGATATTTAGGTTGAGTCAATAATCCATAGTCAATTGAGCATATGTAATTGTGTAATTATTTAATCTAGTAACAAAAAGATGTTTACTAACTATTTTAAAAATTGCCATATGATTTCGATAATTCTGCATAGGAGTTAGTGAATCATCCTTGGGCTTTCTAGGATTTAATGCAATTGAGAATTTCAAATTTTTAGTCGTACCCGAATTTGTACTTCTGTTAGAAAATTATTAATGATTGCACCTTAATTAATGACTAAGTAAGAAAAATTTGAAAGTTAGATGCGCGTCAGGCTTCTATAACAAATTTATCAACAAATTCAATAGAATAATACATGTGATCAATGATCAAAACTCTGAAATCAATATTGGATTAGGAATATTTATTATTAATATTTGAAGTTCATGATTTATTTGATTTCTTTAATTTTTTTTTTGTTTTTTTTATTTTGTGAAATAATTTGAATGAATATATATATATTTTTTTATGTAAAATATACCAAATTATGTCAGTAATAAAAAAATAATAAGTGTGCAATATATTAATTTAGGGAGAGGAGAATTGTGTACGCGCCCCCGGTATTCAACTAATTTCTTAATAACACGCCATTAATACGTCGTCAACTTTAGCGAACGCATCATTTAATTATTTTAGGTGGCATACATTGTTTGACTAAATTTATTATTGTCCTCTTGTGCACACAAAAGTGTTTTGTTTTTAATACCGACACTTCAACTACTTTAAAATAAGCCTCGAAACACATGGAATAATACTTGGCAGAAAATGGTGCAACTCTAAAATAAAGTCCAATTATTATTGCTCACTCAAAACAAAACTGTCATGTGATATTCAACTGAAATAAAAATCTTAAACTTTCTCAAACATGCTCGCATATCTTCATCCAACGAAGATCGACAAAATAAATTACAAATATAGATCATATATTTGAGTTTAAAAAAAAAAAAAAAAAAAAAAAAAACACAAGAATCAAGACTCTCCATTTTGGAATATATCCATTGCAGCATTGCAATTACTAAAACCCCCATCAATAATTAAATTTTCCCCGCTTATATACTTAGCTTCCTCGCTCGCCAAAAATAGCGCGGCTTTGGCAACATCTTCCTCGGTCAAAACCACCCCTTTCAAATTAGCTATAGAGCTAAAATACTCCTCCACAGCTTCTCTACTATCAAGTCCCATAAATTTGATCACCGACGGCGTGGCAACGCCGTACGGCGATATGCAATTCGCCCTAATCCCGAATTTCCCAAGTTCGGCCGCCACATTTTTGGTAAGCCCCAATGCCGCGTACTTTGAGCACGTGTATGCATGCGTTGCAGCAGCCGCCACACGTGTTGCGGCGCTCGTAGTAGTGATGATGGAACCACTCCGCATTGGGACCATCACGCGGGCTGCGTGCTTCATTCCTAGAAAGACACCCATGACGTTGACGCTCAAGACGCGCTCGACGTCGGATTTGTCGATGTCGAAGATGCGGGGCTTGAGGGGATCGACGGCGAAGGCATTGTTGAACATTATGTCTAGCTTTCCGTATTTGGAAACTGTTGTGTCCACGGCATTTTTGATGTGGTCCTCGTTGGATACGTCGCAATGGATGAATGTCGAGTCGGAGTGGCCTATGGCGGCAACGACTGAATTGGCGCGATCGTCTTGGACGTCTGCTATTACGACCTTAGCGCCGTGTTTGGCGAAGAGCTTGGCTGATGATTCTCCTATCCCGCTGGCTCCTCCGGTTATAAGAGCTACTTTTCCTTCGAGTCTACAATATACGTATATAAATATAGAGAAGTTAAGGGTGTGTTTTTTTTTGATGAGTTTGGAAAAAATTTAATTTGAGTTTGATATGAAAATAATATTTGATGGATTGTTTTGTGAGAGAAATAAATATATTTTTTTCGGGACACACATAGTCCAATAATTTATTTTCAATCAATTTGCAGGGTAAAAATATTTTATTTTGTACTTTTTCATTCATTCAAGTTTGTACTTGATTTATTTTTGGGGAGATTAAAAAATATTACTCTCTCATCTATCCAACATAATTTGTCAATTCTTTCTATTTTGGTTCGTTTAACATAATTTGTCATTTTTTGAAAATATAATTATTTACTTTAATTATATTTTAAAATTCTTAATTTATATATATTTTTATTTTAATTAAACTATTAAGTCATCTTAATATTAATTTATAATTATTTTTATTAAATTATAATAATTTTTACTAATATATTTTTTAATTATTTATTAATTACATAATATTTAAAACTCTGTAGTGTAATTAAAGTAGACAAATTAGTTGGGACGGAGAGAGTATCATTTTTCTCGAGTAAAAAATGATATTATCTTTTGTATATTTTTATTATAGAAGATAAAAAAACAACAAAAAATTAGGATTTGCATCTTAAAATTTGAGTATACATTTGAATGTCGAAGAGTATAATTTTGTTTACACATCCTGTTTACAACTGGCTCGCATTTGAGAACAGGGTGCATTCCCGCATTTGTTTCCAAAATTACAATTTTGCATTAATGAGGTAGGCTTCATTCCACTACAAAACAATAATATATTTGTAACGGAATTCCGTCACTAAAGTTCCCATAGCTAACTTAATTTCATTTCTAATTCCGTCTCTAATGTCATTAGTAACGGAAAAAATAAATTTAAGGACAAAAAAATTTTATTACAAAAATAATTTTTTTTTGTAGTTCGAAATATATATATCTCTCTCTTAATAAAAAATAAATTACAAAAACAAAACGTTTGTTCTAGCTCTTTATATATAAACATATTTTCTTAATCCGTAGTAAACAAGTCGATAATTGATGATGATGATGAGACAACTACAACTACAACTACAACAGAACTTTATATAATAAAATGGATATTAAAGCAATTGACATAAAAGCAATTGAAGGAATGAAGACGCAGAAGCAAGTGAAGAAGCAATTACCTTTTAAGTGCAGAAGCAAGTGAAGACGCAGCAGCTGCCATGGAATTAGCTGTTCAAGCAAGCAACTCGATCTATCTATTTTTCAGATCTTCTTCATCTTCGTCTTTCTGCCTTTTTAAAAGCTTTTCAACACACACACAGTGGGGGGCTTTTTTTGACTGAAGAAAAACAATGTTGACTGAGTGGATCCAATCTGATCAAATGGCGGGCGGACCGGACCGGACCATGTTGTTTCCTGTCATTATGCTCAAGTGTTGCGTTGACCAAAGGGTCTCTCATCACCTACCGAACGCAATTCAACAGTACGATGCTGTTGTTTTCTTTGTTAAGAACTGAAATGAATAATTTCGAAAAGGGGGTAATAATGTCAATTTGGGTTTCATAAAATTTTTATTATTTATATTCAAATTGTATTCCGATTATATGATTTTTTTTTTTTTTTATATATAAGTGATATTTATGCAATTTCTATATTTCGTACAATTATTAGGTGTGATTTATTATCTTGACCGCTAATTGAATAAACTAAGAAATATATGAAGAAGCTTAGCTTAAGAATTGCATAATTGAATAAGAAATCTTTCATAATCAATTGAATATTCGAGAGTTTTTCTTGTATTATTTTCGATGAGAGAATTTTTACTACAGTCGTGCCTAATTTAATTTTCAATTCGGGGCGTAATTAATTGGTCATACTGTTGCCATGGATAAACTTAGAAAAATTATATGGTTGATTGTAACAAACAACTATAACCGATTTATCGATTGGTCGATTAAATTTTTTAATTCAATGATCAAAATTTTTATCTAATTTTTAATTTATTCTTAAACTAATATTTTTAGTCTTGCTTAATTTGTATTGTTTATTTATAAAATTTTTTAATTAATCCTTAAGCTAATATTTTTCGTCTTGCTTAATTTGTATTGTTTATTTTTATGATTATTTAATTTTAATCAGGTTCATTTGAATTTGTTTAGAATAGTTATTTAAGCAATTCTTTTTGCATCCAACTTCCCTATTTCTAATTAAATAATTAACTAAAGAAACACAATTGCAATTCAGACGGATTTGACTTTTTTTTCTATTATTTTGCAACAGATTTAAAAAAAAAACACATAATTATTTGGACCGACAATTTCAAGCTGTCAATATTAGTATTTAATGTGATATTTTGTAAAATTTTTTTTTTCAAAAAAAAAAAAATAAACACAGGAATTTAAATAGTAAAACTATGTATAAACTCAAAAGAAATGTTCATATAAACTTCTTTTTTACTTGTTTTGGCATATAATTCAATAATGTCTAAGTATTATCCATCTATCAAAGTGACACCAAAGAACGACATCTGCATAGTGTGTGCAAAATGTTGCGGGCATGAATAAAACGGATAGTGGAGTGGTCAACTTATTATATGCAATACGTGGAAGAGAATAGAATGCACAATTTCATTGCGACACTTTGGCCCGCAAATCACGCAAAGTCGAGTATGTCGGGATCATAGACTGGTCTCACAGGTCAACACGGGTCCTACCAGCGCGCTTCTGTCTTCACTCATGCGCACACTATGAGACTTTCTAGGGGTTACCCATCTTCAAATTACCCTAGGGCAAGCACGCTTAAATCTAGAGTTCTTTCAGCAGGGCTTCCGAAAAAAAATATGCATAGTTCACATGAATAGTCTATTCAATTCACTTAATCTCTATTCACTCTTGGATGACCTAGCATCGGCTCATCCAAGGAAGTTGACCTAACACCGGCCAAAATCCGGAGGTATTACAATAATGCAATGATTCTCTAATGTTCTATAGATCTCATGAATTCAGAGACAAATACTTGTATGGAAAGTTGAAGATATAGTCCAATATTTAGAAGTAATTTTCAAAAGGGAAATTATTTTTTATGCTATAAACGTTTGTGGCAGTATTCTTCATTTTCTAAAGAAATTTCAAGATCCCAACATAACTAGAACTATGTTTAGACAAACGAGATACTAAAGGTTCAAACAGGAGAAGATGACCGACCGGTATTAGATTACTCTCAACGAGACTAGTACTCTATTGATAGTTACTGTTGTGTGTTTGTTGGTGTATTAGCTTATCTATTACATGGAGAAAGGTATCTAGTAATACTTTTATATTGAAATCTCCTGAACTTAGGTTTTACACCAAACTCGATCAAGAAATATGTTGTATTACTTTTTGATTTTGATGAACTTATTGTTCTTCTGGCTTCTTGTAAGTTAATTGTGCTTTTCGATTATATTTTTGCATAGTTTCTACTAATTTTTGGTTGAATTTGATTTTTGTGTTTGGATTGAAAATTTTTGAAAATTATTGCAAAAAAAAAAAATCAGATTATTGCTTCAATTTAAGCACGCCCATGCCTTGAGAAAGTTTGGATAAATCAAAACTTGAAGGGATAAAATTAGAATTTTGCCTGATGAAGAAAATTGTAAAAGAAAATTAGAAAAAATATTAAAAGCCAATTTGGAGGGCTGCAGGGTTTTTATCATCAAGAAAGAGGAAGAAAAAAAAAGTTATCTTGGAGAAAAAACAAGAATCAAGTGGACAATTAGAGCGATCAAGAAACGGTTGTGCAATTTTGAATCATATTCTGTAAAATAGAACCTTATTGCTTTCGATTTCTAGTTATGTTTAATGGCTAAACGTTTTTATTATAGTCTAAGGTTGGATTGAATTTTCGAATTATGCATTTGTGAGATAGTTTGAATTTTAGTTGAATCTTTCGATTAATTGGTATTTGTGCAATTTCTGCGTATCGTGTTTATAGTCATTAGATGTGATTTATTATTGTGGTCAAATTTTAAATCTATCTATTGATTGCGTGCTAATTGAATAGCTGCATCCGTAATTATTTATTTATTTGATAAAGTAGTAAATAGGTTAACATATTTAGCCTAGGAATTGCATGATTGAATAAGAAATATTTCGTAATTTAATAAATATTCGAATTGGGTTTTTCTCTCGCTATTTTCAATTGGAAATTTTTACTATGGCCATACCTAGTTTAATTCTTTCAATTGGGACGTGGTCAATTGGTCGTATAGTTACCACCAACAAGGTTCGATGATCAAATCCATTATCTGATTTTTCATTTAATCCTTAGAATAGAGATATTTATTTATTGATAACTCCATTTTATTTCTTTCTTTGATTGCTTGATTTATTTGGTTTAATTGATTTCTTTCTAGGATAGTTAACTTTTTATTTAATTCTTGCTTGAAAAACCTATTTTTTAATAATTACATAATTTACTAAAGAAACAAAATCGAAGTCCTCGTGGATTCGACATTGTTTCCATTATTCTACAATTGATTAACAAAAACATTTAAATATTTTGGTTGACAATTCAGGGAGTTGGCTGCTCCGAATTTAACTCAACAACCTCTTTGCATTACCTTCTATGAAATAGATGATACTATTAAATTTGAACTGAAATTCGATTTTTTCACTTACTTCTATCTTTTCATGGTCTTGCAGGTGAGGAGCCCCACAAACAACTGCGCGAATTCGACGTTGTCTGCCAAGCATGAAACCAACAGAAGTCACTGAGCAACAAATTAAACTACGAGCGTTCTGCGTTCCATTTTTCCTTAGAATGCAACACTTGATTGTAATACTTCCTCCATGGAGCATAACTTCATAGCTTGACATGCAAATGAAATTTTTGGAGAAGTACTTTCTGGCGTCTCGAGCTGCAACACTAAGGAAAAAAATATGGGATTAAGCAACAACCAGACAAGACACTATATAAGTACTGAGTGCGATTGAAGTGTCTGTGCACAAGATGTCCTTAACATAAGATATCTGAGCATTTGTTTATCCAATACTTCTTTGAATGACTCAGTTGGACAGATCGAAGCAACATTATGCTGTAAGTCAAGGAGGATTGGATGACAAAATACCTAGAAATGCTTGGGATCTGATTTTTCGAATGACAACATATACAAAATAGTTTGGTACCCGAGACAGTGGAGTACTTGATAGCTCTAAATTTGTTCCCATTCGATAGCAGCTTTTTGAGCTAACTATGATTGTGTGCCAATTAGTGGTTAGTTAAAATCAGCAAGTAAAGGTATGTGGCATATGTACGAGTATAAAATACCCTACTGAGGTCTTTCCTAAACTTCAAGAAGGTAGCTTTGTAGAACTTAATACAGTTGAATTTACACAAACACCCTACATAGTACAACTTGTTCTCTAATACATATTTTTGCATGGAAAAATCATCCGAATTTGTCGTATGAGAATAAACCCTAAGATTTCCAAGTACAAGCGTTAATGCAAGAGATATATCGCCCACCACCACCACCACCTCAATCTGTTGCACCTTTAGGTATGTCTTTAGAGAATATAGTTAAGACCAGGACTGCTAACACTTTGCAATTTTAACAAAATATGAAGACCAACATACAAATTTGGATGCAAAAGTGGAGCAGCGGGCTATCAAAGTACAAAAATTGAAAGAGCAAGAACAAGGAACGTGACCTTCACAAGCTAAAAAAAATCCAAATGATGTGAACATAATGTCTCTTTAAACCGATAAGGTAGTGGAGAGCCCAAACCAATGGTTCCAAAAGACAAGGATGAAAAAACCATTGAGAGAGAGATTGAAGAGGAAGATATAAAAGCTGACAAGATACATTCTAAACCCCATTTCAACACAAAGTCTAACGAAACTCTTTTTTTTCCAGGTTAGTGACACCAAGAACAACAAATAAGGAGATATTTTTTTTGGAGGTTTTCAGAAAGGTGGATCTCAACATACCAATATTGGATGTGGTTCGCCAAATCCCCGGATACACATAAATTTTTATGTACATATGCACTAACAAGAGAGGGATGAAGGGAGACGAGTGCATCATTGTCAACGAAAATATTTTAGCGATCTTGCAAAGAAAAATTCCAGCCAATGCAGTGATCTAGGTATGTATTCAATTTCTTGAAAGATAGAAGATTTAGAAATAAGAAGAGCAATGCTTGCGATAAATGTGATGCCTAAATCAATCTATAACTCATTGAATGCAATACTTTTAAAGAAAACAGAAATTGTGATTCAGTTGGCTAATGTGACTAATACATACCCCAAAGGACTTATAAAATATTTTTTAGTTCACGTCAATAATTTGATT